AACTGCACTGAGCAGGTTCCAGCGGGGCAGTAACAAGAAGCTGCAAAGCTGCAGTACTGAGTTATTGTGGCAGGTCTGTGCGAATCACAGAAGAACCTGAACAGAATTGTAAACCTTTTAGCAAGTCAAAAAATTAACGCATTTGTATTTACAATGTGTTTTGACTGCTTGGTTGAAGTTCAGTTTTATGGACCTCCGTGCTCTCATTTAAGGATAATACTGGAAATAAATCCTGAACAAAACAAGTACAAATCTTTCCAAGTAAATATAAGAAAAAAAAGTTTCTCAGTAAAAACAGTGCCGGAAGATCCGCAGATTGTTCTTTGAAGCTTGTTTTATAGTCTCTCCCATTTGTTCTGAATATATATCAAAAATTCATTAAAAACTCCATGTCAGGGGGATGTTATAGATTTGCATCAGGCGTAATACTCTCTGAAAGCGCACCACCACCTTCTGCTAATTCATTAAACCTGACTTGTTTCCCCGTATCGTTTATTTACAGGCGAGATCGGAGACTAATCTCAGCAGCACCCAGTGTGAAAAAATGTTCGAGAGCTTTTAATCTGACAATATTGTAAATTCCGAGTACAAATTATGACGGGCTTTAAATAAACAGCAATATTTACGCCAATGCAGTGCTGTTGCTTCGCTTACAAATGTAGTGATATTTCCCAGAATGCACCCAGGGACAGAAGTTGTTGAGCTGGTTATGATCCGCATAAGAAAGTAAGGTGGTTTTAAATCAAAATAAAGGATCCGAAGAAAGTTTTCTATTTATTTAGCAGATAGAGTGCCTTAAAAAAAAAGTACCTAATGCTCAATTGAACCTTCAGTCTAAAACATTCTAGGTGCATCATAACAAAAGCTGTGCAAAGTCTTACAGCCTGTTTTCTTCAGAAGGCAGCCACAGCCTGGGTAGAAAAGCCTGTCCATTGCCAAGATGGTAGGGGGACACTTGCTCTCTGTGGAGAAGCAGTGGTCTCTCTTCAGAGCTTTGACACACCCCTCTACTGTGTCAGAACTAGAACTCTCCAATTTGCAAAGAGCATGGGCTTTGTATAGTTCCAGCACAGCAGGTGGTATGTCAGCCCTATGCAGAGAGACTACTGGTTCCACACAGAGAGCAAGGGTCCTTCTATAAAGCATGCTGGCAGTGGACAGGCGTTTCTACTCTGTTTTCTAAAGAAAATGAACTGTAAGACTTTGCAGACTTTTTGTTTTGATATACCTGGAACTGAAAGTTCCATTGGGATTTAGACGGGACCATCCGTCCGAAATAAAAGTTTAAGGTTGGCTGTGCTTCTTCCATGCAGGGCAGATCAGGTGCACTTTAATGCTGACTCCCGCAGCAGTTTTTAACTACCAATTTTGCGCTGTCTCTCCATTCAGCTACTGGGAGCAATTAAAGGAAACCCTGTGTAAGGGCCAAGTCATGACATAAAGCTTACACATGGGGGGCCGCCCCCATATGACAAGGTAGGGTGTCTGAGCAGCCAATCGCTGGAGCAGTCACATGGGAGGAAGACGGGTAAGTCACATGCTGCCTATACAGGGAAGTACCAGGTATTTCTCTTTCAGTCATCAACGTGAGCAAGGGCCAATATTAAGTTGAACCTGTCTGATTCCTGCACTGGCAAAGCACAGGTTTACTTTGCGCGGTGTTAAACCCCCTTCCCATCCAGGCCATTTTTCAGTATTCAGCGCTGCGGTACTTTGACTGACATTTAATCCGTCATGCAGCGCTGTACTGAAATGAATTTTATACCCTTTTTTGGGGACAGATAGAGCTTTCTTTTGGTGGTATTTATTCACCACTGGGGTTTTTATTTTTTTACTATATTAAGGAAAAATTACTGAAATTTTAAAAAAAGACAGTTTCCCCTATATTAAATGATAAAACATTTATTATTACCCAATTTTTTGGTAAAATATAAAAGACGGGGTCACGTCGGGTAAAAAGACACCAAACATGTCAAGCCTTAAAATTGCGTGCGCGCGCGAAACCTCAAAAAACGATAATACCCAAAATTGGCCATAGGCGACGCTTTAAAAGCTGTTACCGCTCATCAGTTTAGTGTTATCAGTGATTGATGGCCCTAAAATGATTGCTCTCACTGCGACGTTCGCGGCAATATGTAACGTGTGTAGCGCAATTGTCGTTTTCGCGCGCTGGTGCACCGGACGCGTATTTACGTTTTATATGTGCGTAAACGTGGGGGATTTAAACATTTTGGTGGGTTTTTTTCCCCTTTTTTTTATATGTGACTTATTTTTTTTTATTTATATTTATTTTTTTGCAAGCAACGGGCGGACGGCAAGAGGTTAAAGAGGTATATTCATGAAAAATAAAAAAAATTAAATAATACAAATTCAAAAGCTTCAACAAAGTACTCAAATTAACAGGCAGCGCTCCGTCCATGACAGGTTACACAGTGAGGAGATTTTCCCTGCTGTGTAACCTGCTAGAAGCCAATCTGAATGGAGAAAAAGTCAAGTCTGAAGCTGACAGCTTTTTCCTCTATAATACTAGGTGAGGCACTGCCTCCCCTGACCGCACGTCCCTGGATGGAACGTATGAAGTTATAGAACTTCTGATAATTCAACATAGAAATACAGGTGAAACTCGAATAATTAGAATATCGTGCAAAAGTAATTGCAGTAAGTGCTGCAAAAGGGGCCCAAACCAAGTACTGAGTACATATGCATGCTTGTACTTTTCAGAGGTGCAATATTGTTCTATGTACAATCCTTGTTTTATTGATTGCATGTAATAATCTACTCTTTTGAGGTTGTGGATTTGGGGTTCTTGGGGTTTTCATGAGAGCACATTCACATCAGTCCCAGCCCTCAAGGAGCTTACAGCCTAAGGTCCTTATCTCACATGCATACATATGAGGGCCAATTGACCTGCCAGCATGTGTTTTGAGTGTTGGAAGAAACCGGAGTACTCGGAGAAAACCCACACCAGCACAGGGAGAACATGCAAACTCCTTGCAGATAGTGACCTGGCCGGGTCTAACCACTACACCACTGTAACAGCAAGCAAGTAAAACTGTAAAAACGAGGTCTAAAATTGCTTCTATGTTAAAATGGTAACACCATTCTAGAAGTCGAATTGCCATTGCGTGTCCCTTTAAGAATGTTGAAATAATTTTTGCCTCGCAAAACTAACTTTCCAATGACATTTTATAAAAATCCTCATGTAATAAAAAAAAAAGCGACAAAACGCAAAGGCGTTTTTAAATGATTTAAAAATCAATTTTACGTTAATTTTTTCTCTTTAATTAATATCGTTCTTTATGTCTTTCTGTGTCTGCAGCAGTTAATGTGATTGTATATGCAAAACGGGAAAGTTAATAATTCATGCAATCATTTTTGCAAACACGTTAATTACACGACACGTTACTCCATCAGCGTCGGCGTCGTAGCCATAATTGGGTGTAAGATTACATTCAGTCATTGTAATCTGCACCTTTCTACCCCGCCTCTCAATGACTCCTGTACAATGTTATTACAATGGTATTTCGGAGAATAGGAAAATAATGCTTGCGCCAAGCTTGCAAATTAATACGACGATCAGCAAACCAGGTGACTTATTGGGTGCTCGCGGCGGCGGCCTCTGGAAAAACGCTCTTTTCAGCACCGGTAGACACAAAATTGCACTTTGGGTAAAACGGCCAATGTGTCAGTTTGTGATTTGCGGAGTCTCTTGTCCGGAGAAGCTTCTGCACGGGAGGGCGACGCTTGGGAGATTGAAATTTATGCGGAGAATATATTGCTGCTTTGTGCTACTTGACCGTGAAAGTTACCGATTACTCCTCCAGGCCTTTAACACCATTTTTAGATACCGTGCAGTTTCCTTGCAGGTTTTTTTTTCTGCAGTTAAGCTGAGCTGTAAGCCATAATCATCACAATTATGACAAATCACGGCTTGAATTATCTTGCTTTGCATGTAATGAATCTATCTCATATATTAGTTTCACCTTTTTAAGTTGCTTTAGTGAAATAAATGAACTTTTGCACGATATTCTAATTATTCGAGTTTCACCTGTAATGAAGGTTCCAAGTACTTAGATGTGGTGGCTTTGTTGTTTTCTTATTTTATGGCTTTTCCTCCCTTATTTTTACCTGTATCTTTGGAGGATCGGCACTGTCACCCTAGGACAGGAACTGTTATAAGACGACAGAGCACCTTCCGACCTCCTCAGCTCTGTAACCTATTTACATAGTATTTGAGGTTGAATAAAGACACAGGTCCATCAAGTTCAACCTATTGAGGCTTGAATTATCTTGCTTTGCATGTAATGAATCTATCTCATATATTAGTTTCACCTTTTTAAGTTGCTTTAGTGAAATAAATGAACTTTTGCACGATATTCTAATTATTCGAGTTTCACCTGTAATGAAGGTTCCAAGTACTTAGATGTGGTGGCTTTGTTGTTTTCTTATTTTATGGCTTTTCCTCCCTTATTTTTACCTGTATCTTTGGAGGATCGGCACTGTCACCCTAGGACAGGAACTGTTATAAGACGACAGAGCACCTTCCGACCTCCTCAGCTCTGTAACCTATTTACATAGTATTTGAGGTTGAATAAAGACACAGGTCCATCAAGTTCAACCTATTGCGTGTATGCATGTGATTCTGCATGTGCATGCGTGTGTACAAGTCTGCAAACTCCAGATGAGGCCGAACTAGTGATCTATAAAGTGGCAGGATGGAGGTGTTTTGTAGTTCACAAGTGAACTGGGCAGGGATGATAACATTGCTTCAGGCAGGATAAACAGGTATGTAGGTATGTAAAACGGATGTAATAAATCAATGGTATATTTTAACAGACCAAAAGGGAGCAAATAAGAGTTTACTTTTGGTTTATACACACTTGAGCTCTTTTTCTAAGTACTTTATAAAAGAAGAATATGAGCTAAGAGCTTTATGCTGTATGCATTATACATGTCACTTGGTACCCTTGTCTGATTTTGTGTTTAACTTTCTGTTGCAGGAAGAATGAAAGGACCATAAAACATAATGAGATCCGGAAGAAATATGGTATGTTTTTATTTTGGTTTATTTTTTTATGTATTTGGCAATTTGAGTCCAAAGAGCGCTGACAATTAAAGCTGATCTCCCCGCCATCCTTGATCCCTTTTAAATAATTGCTGGGTTAAAAAAAAAAGTTGGAGGTTTCACAATGCTGCGTTGGTAATTACTCTTTAAGAAAAACGTTTATGCCTGAAATGCATAAGAACTGTATCCTGTGACTTGTAATAAGAGTAAGGTTTTCAACTGTCTGGTTGTGTGGTGATTCCTTAATATTCCTGGTGGATGTAGGTGAGAGCTGAGGTCCACCTGGCTTGTTTGATATTTACTAGTGATGCACCAATACCAGTTTTTCAGTATCGAGTATGAGTACCGATCTTTATTTATGGGTCCTCGCCGATAACGGTACTTTTGCCAGCACTGAACTGGCTTCCCGGCCAATCAGGAAGTCACGTGGCGTGTTTTGCCTGAAGAAGAGACCAGACAGTCTCGAAACATCGCTTAAGTTATGTGACAATTTGATGGTCAATAAAGAAGATTGACTACAAACGTTTCTGGATGGGGGAGTGACTTTCTACCAGTTACATTACCCACAGATCACTTTCTTGATTGCCTGGGATGCCGGCTCCATGCAGTTTGGCCGGCTCGATGCTGATTGGCCAATCAGCATTGAGCCAGCCAAACAGCATCAAGTCATTACCCGCCACCCGGCTTCCCGATTGGTTGGGAAGTCGGCTCCATGTTCCCTTGCGGTATTGCCGGCCAGAGGAAATCTCCCTCTGACCAGAGGTTCCAGTATCGGAGCATTTGGGCGAGTCTGAGTACTCACCCAAATACTCGATATCGACGCCGATGCTAATATCGGTATTGGTGCATCCCTAATATTTACCCCTTCTTCTTACTGTCTGATCTGCCCAAGACTGGAGCATTATATGCCCACCCCTCCCCCCATTGACTCTTAAAGTATGGCGCATGAGTCCACACTGGACGTAAAAAATTATTTCCAGGTAGCATGTGCCAAATTGGAGACAAATCCTTGATTCTCTATGACCAGGTCCGGCATAGGCATAATATTTTACAAAATGCCAGTACTACTGCAGGACTTAGACACTTCTCCAACCCTGAGCAGGTCAAGATGGGTTGGTCTGCTTCTGAGGTCGGTACGTATAGTGAGAAAATTGATAAGGAGCACACTTTTTGTGAAACTTCATCTAGCCTTTAAAGGAGACCTTTGGGGTGCCCTTTATCTTTTTGAATTGGAAACAAAACAAAATGATGCCACAGTCTAAAGAAGAAACTCTGTTCCGCTGACCCTTAGCCTCGTTAGTGGAAGAAAGGAAAAATATACGGGTAATTAGAAATGTGCTGTATGAAGGGCACTCCGATCCTGTACAGTGTACCCTGTGCTTTCTGTGCCGAGGTTATTTGTTTGCTTATGAGATGATTATCTCCTCAGACTGATGACCTGTTCTGCCAGCACTCTGGGACATGAAAGGAAAATGTAAAACATCTGCTAAGCAATCAGAACTAGCCATGTTTATCAGGGTAAAAACTGTGACCTCAGCAGATTTCGGTTTCTATTTCCCAACATTTAACTGAACACTGTCCTGACTATGTGCGGTCTATATTCGTATATCATCTCTTCTGGGTTCAGGAGCTGGACTTTAAAGAATAAGAGCACTGTTAAAATATCTTGGCTGCTTTATTACATCCCAGGAAAATGTAAAACATTAGCAAATATAATCTTGAGAGCTCAACTAGAAACCCCAATATTGCTCCAGCTGAAATTTCCTGTATAATGCCTGAGAAGATATAGGAAAGAGCCCCTTTTCCCCAGCATTCCTCTAGATGTGCAAGCTTGTAGCCCTAATATCATGGGGAAGGAGCAAGCACACAGGTGGGGTGCTGGGGATGCTTTCTCTTAGTGAGTGGCAGGTTGTCTGCCTTTCTTCATCTCCCCTCATGAATTATTTTTTCAGTTGTCCGATTTTTGCTGGAGACAGCAGTGGCTGGTAGCTGGACTAAAGAAGTGATGACTCTAGAACCGTAAGCTGCTGACCCTGTATCAACCAGGCATGAGGAACACCAAAACAGTTTTCATTTTTTTTAAACAAAGTAGCATTTGAAGAGGAAATTCGGTGGAAAAGGGGAATCCGTCCGCATTTCATTACTGCCTATGTCCCCATATGGAAAAATCCCACCTGGGACAGAAATAAGGAGGAAATGTCAAATTTTAGTTGTCCCAGGAACAGGAGTAGAGGGGAGAACTTTCAATTGGGAAAACTTTCAATTGGAACAATAACAGCTGTCAAACATGGGATTTCTCACTTTTGGAAGGTTTCCTCTTGCCTTCCTTTGGTTCGGGATGGTGAGGGAAATCTACCCGGTGTGGACCTCCAGCAATAGTAATTTAACAGACCATTCTCCCCTTTCTATCCAAAATTGATATTAAAAAATCCACTGGAGCTGCACTTTAATCCTTTTGTGACCAGAGGCAATTGAATTTGGCAGTGTCTGCATGCATCAGTTAACTTGTCAATAATGCAGGATAATTTGCATATCTAAATCATTTTGTATACTTTTAGAAGCTTTTATTTGGTACAATGTTTTAATAAAAAGCCTGCTCTGTTTTATAATGGGTTGAAAATGTAATTAATATGCAGTGTAACATTTTTTGTTTTATCTTCTGTATTCTAATCATTTATGTAATATTGTATTTGTATCTGACAATTACAGCATTAACCAGATGAATACTACCACCTTCGGACTGCAGTGCTATCTGTAGGCTGAAGGCTTTTTTTGCCAGTTAAGCCTCCAGGCTGCATATGATCACTGTTATAGCTGACAAAGTGATCACATTTCGGGAACAACTCTGATTCGGTCCTGATCATCATTGGGAAGCAAACAGTCAGTGAAAAACAGGATTGAGAGCCGGTAGCTGCACAAAGTGTCGGCTTGCGGCTTTCAAAGAGTGATGTTTGCTAACGTATCCCCATCACAGGGCATCATGCTGGGGAATATGAATATAGAGATTAGGGTGGGAAGAGTTAAAAGGTGTACATTAGTCAAATTTAGCATGCAATACATACAGGCGTCGTAGCCTGCTAGTCAAGGGCTATTCAGTGTTCAAGTAGTAAGAGGTGGTCATTCTTGTAATTAATGTAACCAGTTTTTTAGTGAGGATATAAAAAATAGGTAGAATCTTGATTGGTTTCTGTTGTCACCCATTTACACCTTTTCCATGCGGCATAGAATAAGGCAGTGATATCACTATTACTTTGTGAGCTGATTGGATATTTATTGTTCACACCCATTAAATGACATCCATTTGATATGACAGCAGGCCAACTTTAAATCACGTCTTGCATAATGCTTTGGTCAAACTAGGCACAAGGACATGATTGAAACCTTCTTCAGTAGGGTCCATCACAGCAATGTGTTGAGCTCCCGTAATGATGCTTGAAAATTGTTCAGCACAGTAATACAGTAAGCCCAGGCCGGTGCTCTGTCGAGGTGGCCAACTCGTTGAGATCTCCAACTCGTGACGTCACGTTCGTTGTAGATTTTGACGAGATGGCGCTCCTGCGCCAGCCATCACAATTTTGCAATCCTCATTGAGTTCTCCAGTTGCCATAGGTGCGCCTGTGCATCTTCCAATTTGTCATCGAGTTCTCCAACTCCCGTCGGTGCTTGTGGCATCGGGTGCCCGAGCAAGCGCACTGCCACAGATTGTATAGCTTGATACTTCACTTGGGTGGCTGCGCAGGCGCACTGACGGGAGTTGGAGGTCTCGACGAGTTGGAGAATTCGATAGAACACCGACATAATGAGGTCCCTCAGGGGGTGTGTTCATGATGGCTTTTGGAGGAAGTGCATTTAATAACAATGACCACCATTGTACATTGAAGTAGAGCACCATCTGGCAGAGGAGCTGACCTTCTACCGGGGCAGCACCAGATTGGGTTTTGCAGCAGCTTTGTAATTTTTTTACACATGCTGGTCTGCATATTTTTTATTTGTATTTAGAAAACTGGAGTTCTGCATTCATTTTTCAGTTCCCACATGTCACAAAAGCTATTCATGCCAAAAATTTCTGTGCCAAAATTCCTAGCAGCCAAAGCTCCCTCACCGAAAGCAACCACTCCACTTTCCAGAAGCTCTAAAACCAACTCGCTGTCTTTAGAAACATGAAGTTCTCGGCAGACCTCTTCTTAAAAAAATGTAATCCAAATATTTAAAACCCTGCAAGTGATCCGTATGCAAGTCTAATCCTTACAGCATTTATTAAACTGTCAGCCGCCAAGCGTCGTGTCTCCTTAATACCGCCGGGGTAATCTGAATGGCGCGTTTGGAACGGTTTGTTACAGTCTGGAGAATTAGCCTTTCGCCTAGTCCGCACAACCTTTGAAGTTTGTGGCTATATTTTTTCTTTTTGTCTTTTCTCCACCTTCCCGTTCCCTCTGCTTCGAGATGACAAACAGCGCAGCAAAAATAACTGCTTTGTAAAATGAATAATTTGCTTTCTGAGGACAGGGAAGCGTAAAGATACAACATTGCTCTTCTGGGGCTTTTTTTCCTGAGACATGTCCAACTTAATTCTGTCTTAATAAAGATGAGTGACAGAATGAGATGAAATTTATTAGCTCATGCTGTGAAGATTAAACCACAAAATGCCAGCTCAGACCTGTCTACTGGGAATAAGCTAATGTTTTTTTCCCCCTCCTTCGACCCAGCTTTCTTTGTGTAAATTAGATGGTAATTATACATTGAGATTGGCTGCCATGGAGGGGTAATGCGGCACAGTCCAAGACTTTGCGGGGAGGGTGCTGTATCTTCTTAAAGGGACCATCTCAAATCTCTCAAGCTTATTGTGTGTAGCATGGAGTATATCTGGACCATTTTCAGCAAATTCAGGCCGTGTGCCTATCCATTCTGCTGCAATTATCCATAAGGTCCACAGTGATCATTACTTCACCCAGTTACTTCATGTCCTTTTATAGCCTTAATCA